GGTGCTGGTGGCTCACACCTGTAATCTGAGCTACTCAGAAGGCTGAGTTCTGAGGATCACAGTTCAAAGCCAGCCCAGTCAGGAAAGTCTGTGAAACTCTTCAATTAATCACCAAAAAGGAGAAAGTGGAACTGTGGCTCTAGTAGTAAAGCACTATCCTTGATCACAAAAGATCAGAAACAGCCCCCCGGGCCCTGAGTTCAAGCCCTAGTACCAGCACACGTGCATAAACACAATACACACACACACACACACACACACACATACACACACACACACAAAGATATCAATTATCACATTAATCATAGGATGCTTAATTTCCCTCATTTTGTAGGTGGGAAAACGAGCACAGGGATGGCCAGCAAACTTAGCCAATTTGCTGGACACTCCCCTCACTTCTGACAACTATACCAGAGTCAGCTCATCCAAAAGGTTTGTTTGGTTCCCTAGATTTACTTGATTGGCCTACAATGGACCCCATGGTTTATCTCATCTAGTATTTTTGTATGATTTTTTTCTAACTAGAATCAAGATGGGCTTGTTCTTCCAGGGAAGAAGCTGAATACAAGGTCTTGTTTAAAAGGAAATGAAATTTGCAAACAGAGAGGACAGAAAGCATCAAGGATGCTTGTCACTTATTTAACAAAAGGAAATATTGGTTGAATAAATTGTTTGGCAGATTTGTACAGTTGAATAAAATGGGTGACTCTTCCCTTATGTTCTTGGTGGAAAAGCTAACATGTTTTTATTAATGTGGCAAGCACCATGGGAAAAAACACTGTGTGATTATTGGATGTTTCTTAATAGGTTTTCTCTTTTGCAAGATGGAGATGAGCTATACTCATACCTTCAGCTTATTGTGTGGCTTAAAATGACATGACGGTGAATGGTACAGAACTGCTCAATTAATACATATTTCCTTCCATGGATTTAAGGTAAGGGAGCAAACACCAGAAATTGTATACTCATGACACTTAAAATATGACAATCACCAGGTACAATTTGTGGAGGCTCTCATATGAGATATAGTAGGACTCACCTAGCCAAATCTGAAGTCAGATGGGTTCTCTGTGATTAGTCCAGAATCTCAGCCTTATTTGGGGGTTAATGACAGCCTATCTGAGAGTCCTACTGTTCCTGAAGACACTATTGCCTGTGTGTGATTTTAATTAGAATCAACTGAAGAACCTAACAAATGTCCAAATTCATTCCATCTGGAGTGAGGCCTTCATCTTGTTTGTCTGTTCAACCTTTCATTTCCTCCAGGTAATACAGACAGGGTTAAAAACCACCGATGATAGTGAGAGGCCAGGCTCAGGTGGCTGCTAGAGCAAATGCACTGAGCTGTGAAACAGCCTATCTGGGGTTGTAAGTAGTCAGGGAGGGAGAGGAGGTGGTACGCTTTTCATTATCTAACCAAGGAGCCTGAGCTCCATCCTAAGAGTGTTAGGGGAACTTCTGAAGAGCTTTACGTGGAAAATGAGGGGATATCTTGCCGACTTCTGTATCAGAAGTTGTTCTAACAAAGTGCCATGAGCCAGTGAAGGTAGTAAAGAAGCAATTGCAGCTGGCCAGATGATAACCCAAATAGGGTTTGGTACCCATACTATGTGTTTATTCTAGCAGCCACATTTCTTGTAATTATCCACTTTCTGGTCAGTATCCCTTCCACTTGGCTGTCAGTCTCTTCAAGGAAGATGGTCTTTTTAGAATCAATATCCAGCACATTCTAGCTACATAATAAATACTTGTTGAGTAAACTATGTAGAACTAAAATGACACGCAGCTTATTTTTGTCATTTTATGGCAATCTCAAGATTTTGAGTCCCATTAACTTTTATAGTATGATAAAAGCTTTATAGTCATGTGATTGTCTCACAGGGAAAAGAGAAAGTTTGGCAAAATTTAAATGCTCTTCAAAGTATGGAGAAGAATAGGAAAAAAGTGTGCGTTCCTCAAAACTTTGAAAATGGAATTGCCATAAGCTCTAGCAATTGTACTTGTGCACATATACGTAAAAGAATTGAAAACAGAGAGTCCAAGATATAATTGTACACTTCAGTGGAAGCAACATAAGTAGCCATCAACAGATAAATAGATAAACTGTGGCCCATGTACACAGGAGAGTATTATTTAGCAATAATAAGGAATGGAATTCTGACACGTGATACAACATGGATGAACCTTTAGGCTGTTATATGGCATGACATAAGCTAGACACAAAAGGACAAATACCATGTGATTATTCTTATACCTAGACTAGTCCACTCCATAGGGACAGAAAGCTGAATGGGGGTTGCCAGGGCTAGGGTATGGGGAGTTGTTTAATGAGCACATGAGTTTCCATTTTGTCAGATGAAAATATAATGGTAAATACTGCTGGACTGCTATATTTTCAAAAGTTAAAAAGGTAAATTTTATGTTTTATGTATTTTACCACAATTAAAATGTTTAAGTAAATATGAAGGGGCTGGGAAGGTGGCTCAGTGGTAGAGCACTTGCCTTGTATGCATGAGGCCCTGGGTTCGATTCCTCAGCACCACATAGTAAAAAAGGAAAAAGCCGGAAGTGGCGCTGTGGTTCAAGTGGTAGAGTGCTAGCCTTGAGCTGAAGAGCTGAGGGACAGCGCCCAGGCCCAGAGTTCACGCCCCACGACCGGACCTCCCCACCCCCGCCAAAAAAATGAAGAAAAGGCAAATTTAACGAACATATAAATGAAGAACAATATGTTTTACGCATTAAATTCTATAGATTTACACAAACAAATCTGAACTGCTGCTTTCATAGCTCTGAAACCCTGAAGTTCACCTTCACAATGCCTTGAGAATTCAGACCTTTGGTTGAGAAATTTGGACCCAAGTCAAATGTCGCATGTCCTGTGAGCAGTCTAGGCCTGGACTCCATTTTATATTTATGGTGCTGGGGATGGGGCCTAGAGCTTCACACCAGGAAAGCACTGTACCATTTGGACAACCTTCTTCCTGATTTCCCCAGAAGCACTTCATAGAGAATCCAGGCTGAATATAAACATTGCTTGTTGATGAGGAAACTTTCTAACCAGCGGGCCAAGGCTCAAGTATATTGAGCAGCTTGCAACCTCATCATTGTAACGTGATTGTTTGACTTTCCCAGGATCTGAAGCAGATACTTCAGACACAAGTGTTCAACAGTTGAGGGTGTATTTTTTTTTCCTGTGCTATCTTGCTTATTCTTTGTTGAGCCTTTGATTCCTAGCAAGACCACTTTTGCTGTTTTAAAAATATGGACTTTTTAAAAGTAAAAAGAATTATCTTTAAGTGTTTGTGCTCAGGAATTGGAAAAATGACTTTAAATGAAAACACAAAAGGACTGCCTAGGGTTTCTACATGCAAGGCTCTGATTCTTGGTCATCTTTGTGCTATCCCATCAGGGATACATCAGTGAGCACAACTCCCTGAGTTCCAGCCCAAGTACTGGCACACATTCAAAAAAAGTTAATGAAACCAGACTCTGCAGGGACCACTTAGCCCAAAGTTCTATATCATCTGTGTAACTTCTCTATTTTTCCAAAGGCTCCAATTTCAGCACAATGCATCCTGTTGACTTTGGGGGCTCACTAGACCTAGTTCCAGCTGCTTCCCACCACGTGCTATCTCACAATTTCTTTAGCTTTCTGAAGACATTTCCCCCCTTTATCTTGTTTTTCCATTCTTTTGAATTCAGAAAATTACCACTTTTAAGATGATAAAATCAGGAAGTATTTCACACACATAGCTGAATATGAGAAGGAAAATAGCCTTGACATTGTTCAGCACTACCATATTGATGCTGACTCAGGCATAATTTAGTGTGCAACATGATCATCAAATTCTGTCCAAATGAATTGACTAATCTGATCTGCAAAGATTGGTTTGCACAATTGGAGGTAGAAAAAAATTACAGTGAATCCTCCAGCAAGCCTCTTAATATTCTGCTGAAAGCCTGCAGTGTGTTTTTTTCCCTTGGACTATTGAGAATAAACTTGAAACTAAACTGTTCCACATTTGTAGATTCCATTTTCTAACATGTCACACCCACTTAGATCACATTGCTTCTACAGAAAATGTTGTGCATATAGGTAACTAGCAGAAAGAGCTATTTCACTATGCAAGAACTTTAACCAACAAAGGCAAGCTGTAGATAACAGAATGATCTTTTTTCTTTGCAGCTGTAAAGATGTCTGACAAAACCCAGATAGCTGCTAGAGCTTCCCTTATTGAACAACTGATGTCTCAAAGGAATTTTGAGGATCTTGGCAACCACCTTACTGAGCTAGAAATGTTTTATGTGACTAAGGCACATCTCCAAGAGACAGATGTGGTCAGAGCTGTGTATCGAGTCCTCAAAAACTGCCCCTCAGTGGCTTTGAAAAAGAAAGCCAAGTGTTTGCTGTCAAAGTGGAAAGCTCTTTATAAGAATATATACGTTAAACCAAGGGAAAGCCCTAAATCAGTACTTTCGGATGGTAATAAAGAAGAACATGCAGGACTTTCTCAAGACCTGAACCATAAAATCTTAAGTCTCTGTAGTTCTAACTCTCTGCTATCATCTCAAGCCGTTGTAAACTCCACTGCAATAATTGTGCCTGAAAATAGTGCTGCTCAAATGGAAACTAAAGAAGAACATTTCAGAACTGGTGGCTCTAAATCCATTGGGCAGAAATCAAATGGGTTGCAGGATCCAACAATGTCCATGAGAACTAAATGTGTAGAGCTCCTTTACACAGCTTTAACTAGTTCTTCCACAGATCATCCCAAAGATGATTTGTGGCAAAAATTTGCAAGAGAAATTGAAGAGCATATTTTTGTCCTCTATTCAAAGAACATCAAAAAATACAAAACCTGTGTCAGAAGCAAAGTTGCCAACTTGAAGAACCCCAAAAATGTTCACTTACAACAAAATTTGCTGTCTGGTACCATGTCTGCAAAACAATTTGCTGAAATGACTGTCATGGAGATGGCAAACCAGGAACTAAAACAGCTCAGGGCTTCCTACACGGAATCCTGTATTCAGGATCATTACCTTCCCCAAGCGATTGATGGCACACAGACAAATAAAATAAAATGCAGACGCTGTGAGAATTACAACTGCAAGGTCACCGTCATTGCCAGAGGAACCCTTTTCCTTCCGAGCTGGGTGCGAAATTCGAACCCAGATGAAGAGATGATGACTTATGCTATTTGTAATGAATGTGGGGAGCAGTGGTACCATAGCAAGTGGGTGTGTTTGTGATCATATATGAATATTTCCTTAACAGATACCCCCAGGCACGCACACACACATATGTGTGTGTGTGTGTGTGTGTGTGTGTGTGTGCGTGTGTGTATAAGACCCTTTGTACTTGTTTCTTAAAATCTTATACATGCTATTCTTCAAATAATCTTAAGATTGTTTGCCACAGTAGATACCATCAGCACTAAAAGTTATCATTTGGGGAGCGAGGGAGAAGGGAAAGGAAAGAGGAGAGGAAGGAGAATGATAACTATTCCATGTGCTTTGTGACCATTTGTTACCCTACTGTACTCAGATTGGGATTGAGAGTAGCTCAGTATTCTAGAAGCAGGTTGGAAATCCAGGCTCTCAGGCCTGAGCTGCTTTAGTCTTAATGTGCACTTTGAATATCATTACTATAGCAACGGGCTTGTGGTTCTCAGGAATGGCTGCATATTAAAATCTTCTGAGGAGCTTTGAAACTCACTAGTACCAAGGTGCCAAGGGTCTCTGGCCTAGAACATTTCAGTCTGAACCTATGGAATAGGTCCCAGGCAAACATGTTGCTTTTGTCATTACTCAGGCTACTTTTAAGATGCACTCAGAGTTGAGAACTACTCCTAAATAGGCTATCATTTGGTTCTTTCTATATATGTAAGAAATTAGTGTTCTTTGGAAACTTTACAGGTGAAGAAACAGGTCTACAGAATTGCAGTGACTTGACTAAGCTACACAACCACAAATAACCCAATTCACACCAATGTCAGATTTTCCTCATCTAAATTCATGAGACTGGCTCAATATTGACATCTGGAAAATATACTCTTGGAATTGTGGAACTTAAGTGAATAATGTCTTTAGGGCATAACCTTAGAAGACTAGAACATCAGTCTTTTGTGTTTTTAATTTCCAATGTTTT